ACTCCTGCTCCAGACGAGGCGGAAACCACACACCCGAATGTTCTGAATCCAGAACAAGACATGATGCGAGAGCATGTTGCACAAAACACACCAATACCACAAAGTTTGGATGATGATGATTTGGTGTGCGAAGGTCTTCACTGCGAGGACATGGAGCCAGAGTCCGTTCAACCCGAAGCCAATCAGGCATGGCAATGCGAAATCTATGTGACCGAGAGTGATGTTGAAAGTTAGAAACGGGAAGATAAGCCCCAAGAATGTAGTTTTCTAGCCACTGCCGCAAAAAGACAAAGAGCAGAAGTCAAACTCACGACACTGGGACCCAAAGAACGGGCAGAATTTCAAAGAGCCAAGGAAAATGAAATTCAAAACTGGTTGAAAACTGGCACCATATCCCGAATCATGAGGGACCAAGTTCCACCTGACCAGATCCTTAGATGCCGTTGGATTTTGACATGGAAACCAATTGATGATCAAGAAAAAGAGCAACTTCAGGGAACCAAAAACCATAAGGCAAAAGCCCGACTGGTAATTTTGGGATATCTAGATCCAAAAATAGCAGAAGTTCCCCGTGATTCCCCCACCCTGGGTAGGCATTCAAAAATGTTACTACTCCAAGCGATAGCATCCAATGGATGGAATCTTCAATCATTTGATATAAAAGCTGCGTTTTTACAGGGCAAAAATCAGAAGGATCGGGTACTTGCCATTGAACCCGTAGCGGAAATCATTCAAATGATGAAACTCTCATCCCAAGAGATATGCAAATTGGAAAAAGGGGCATACGGGTTAGTGGATGCACCATACATGTGGTTCCAAGCCATCCTTGAAGAACTTATCAATTTGGGTTTTGAACAGTCACCATTCGACCCCTGTTTGTTTACTCTGAGAAGTCCACAAAATCTACAGCTTGACGGAATTCTTGGACTTCATGTCGATGATGGTCTATGTGCAGGAAACTCTCATTTTCATGAAAAACTGAGGTTACTGGAGAAGAAGTATCCTTTCGGGACAAAAAGGGTAGGTCAATTCACCTTCACCGGTATTGAAATGCAACAGACCCCTGAAGGAACAATTCACTTGTCACAATCCAAATACATTCGAGCCATTGAACCCATCAAAATTTCACAAGAAACGCAGAAAACAGAGTGAATCACCTGTCACTGAGGAAGAAAGACAACAATTGAGAGCTCTCATTGGAAGCCTACAATACGCATCCGTCCACACCAGACCAGATTTATCCAGCAGATTAAGTATCCTTCAATCAGCCATTAACCGAGCAACAATCGAAACCCTCATAACAGCAAATCAAGCTCTCCACGAAGCCAAGAAACATCATGATGTGACCATCAAGATTCAACCAATTGCCACCGCAGATCTCAGATTCCTTGCCTTTTCGGACGCCTCGTTTGCATCAAAGAGTAACCCCAATTCCCATACTGGTTCCATAGTAATGGCTACCCATAAAGATATCGGTAACAATACCAAGTGTCCTGTCAATCCGATTTCATGGGGCTGTAAGAAAATACAGCGTGTTGTAACCAGTACTCTTGCAGCCGAAACCACGTCGCTGAATACAGTATTAGACCAACTCTCCTGGATAAGACTGTGTTGGGCATGGATCTTAGACCCAAAAGTACCATGGAAAAATCCCAAACTTGCATTCCAAAATCTCCCCGAAACATACTCCACTGCCACTATGAAAGCACAAGAATTGCCAGAAAGTTTCGCCGCCACAGACTGCAAGTCTCTGTATGACCTCGTTACCCGCACTGCCGTGCCTAGTTGTACAGAGTTTCGGACGCAATTGACCGCGCGATCAATCAAGGACTTATTATCTGAGGGAGTAGCACTGAGATGGGTGCACAGCGGGGCCCAGCTAGCAGATGCTCTCACCAAAATAATGGAAAATACCTTCCTAAGGGAGACCCTTAGATTAGGCCATTATAAACTTCATGATGAACTAGAGGTCCTGAAAAACCGTGCGTCATCCCGAAACCGCCTTCGATGGCTGAAAGGTGAATCCACCAATCAGCATGGCTCAGGCTGCAATGATGTTTGCTTTCTCGAAGATTTTAGTTTTTTTGGGAGTGTGATTCTACATCATTGCGGGGTCATGGAAGAAACCACCCATAAAGGATGTTTACCAAAAAACCCGGGGTTTACACAGCACTTGTTTTCCAAAGCACACGTGGCTCCGGAGGGCCCAGGGTTGAAGGTGGGTGGGAAATCATCCGTGCTGAGCCATAAGCTTGGAAGCGAGGCCGCTTCACTGTTCTTTGGCCAGGGGCCATTCTTAGCTGGGTGGATTACCCATTTCACTGGAGGTCCAAGGACCATAGCCGTTGCTGGGAAGAGACTGCCTGTCTCTATTCGTGCTGCTCAGGACTTGTGTGCCGTGAAGGGAAAAAGGCCGCGAGTCACTTTCGCCTTTTGGAGGTGGATCCGGAGATTGCAGCTGCCAGTGTGAGGTTCCAACCACTCACAATATATACATATATGTATATATATATATATGTTTATATATCATATATATATATATGATATATATATATATATGTGTGATATATATATATATGTATGTATATATATATATATCATATCATATACATACATATATATATATCACACACATATATATCATATATATATATACATATATATCATATATATATATATATACACACTGTAAATACACATGTATGATCATGTATGTACATTTGTGAAAAAACAGTAAAGGCAACTATATCTCCAACGTGTTCAAACTACGTCATGAACAGCACTGGCAAAACCATCTATTCCCCAAAAAACTCATCCAGGAGTGTGAAGTGGCTGGGGAGCAGTGTGGAGATCCCGTAGCTCACACCACTTCCTTTGTTTTTTTCAGTCTACAACTACATGACAATAACAATAGATAAATAGTATATAAACTAACTACATAACAAATATAAATACATATATATATATATATAATGGTGGTATCAACATGTTCCATGCCTAAATAAACAACACTGTCCCCTATACCTTGCAGACTCTCCGACTTTTGAAACGCGCCTTCAGGACGCCGTGCTGGAACCACCTGCCGAGTCTCCTCGGGATCAGAGGACTGTCTGCTGGAAGAATATCGTTTCGATGTTCGACATGGAGGTTTCCAATCCATCCCTAAGGATCCATGTATGGAATATTTGCCTACATTGGGATTATTTTAAATTACTTTAGGGGTCAATGTAGGTAAATATTCCATACATGGATCCTCTGGGCATGGGAGTACCCCTAGTTATCCTCCATTTATAGATGGACTTTCCATAATAAACCAGCCAGCTTTTGGGGCACCCTTTCTTCCCGAATCTCACCGTCCTCCGGCGCTCGAAGAAAGGGTGAAGAAGAAATGCCTAGCACCGGGCTTTTGAAAAATTGGACCCTACATGCCTTTAGAGAGTGGTTTCCCCCAAAATTCACTGGTGAAAACAAACATGATACGTAATGGGATATCATCGGAGGAACATTATGACATTATAGCCATATGCAACCGACTGGGTTAATCGTAGATATATCGAAGTATTTCCGACAATGAAGGTTATAAACCAGCTCTTACACTTATACATCTTATACACATGGGAGGGCACTATATCTATAGGCTATAGGATACTGTACCGATCTACTAACGATTGGCTTTATGCTAAATATATGTGTACTTTTCATGGGTCAATGGTCATTTCAGGGACCTAAACTGGAGGTATACCTACCATCTAAGGCCTTCCAGGAAGGGCTAGGGGATCATCACATTTTTTGTCTCCTCGCCTCTGAAAAGAGCTTGGTAGCCAGGCTTTGGGCTATGCACTCCTGGCTCCATGGCTCCATTGGGAATGGTCTTAGGAGGATCCATAGCTATTACCCTCTGGTTATGACTGACATAGCCATGGGAAATCCCTCATAAATGGAGGTTTATAGCTGGGAACATCATCTATAAATGGGCCATTTTCCATGGCTATGTTAAATAACCAAATGGTAGATGCTATTCGCATGCACTCTCCCAGCCTGTTCGCAGAAGGGAAGCGGCACGCTGAACTGGGGCATGGCAGCGCACACAGCGCCACATGGCCCCCACTTTGGATTCAGGAGACAAGTTAGTATGGCAACCTAGGAAGGAGCATGCCTTTTCTTGTACGAAAGAAACGTTCTAAATTCCAAGGGTACTTCACTGTCACTACCAGGGAGGGATGCTGGTCACTGGACTGGTGGAATGCCCTGATGCTAGATGGATTCTGTTGGGATATGGTTGCTATATAATATGTATATACACCATGTCCATATATGCTTTGGAATGTAGCTATGCTATGCTACTATATGGAATTTCACATGTTTCTGCTGACATGTTCACATGTTAATTTATGATGTTTGCATATGATACATATATTATATCATCATATACCATCATATATCATCATATATCATCATATATCATCATATTTGTGTATACAATATATATGTATATATATATATATATACACCAAAGGGATCAAACCTATACCTATAATCTTTCGGTGAACGACAAGTTTCCGAGCCTGAGCCAAACTTTTTTTTCTGGAGCTACATGGAGCTACCCATCATTTTTCCGTAGAAAAATGTTGGGTGAGGTGGACATCTCCCATCAAAGCATGACACAGCCAAATACCATAGTGGTATCATAGTGATTATATACCTCCATCCCCATTCAATCCCCACTATGTGATATTATGTATATATATATATATATTATATTATATCCAGAATGGCACTCACATTCCAGCAGTTTTTCCCAGAGTGAAGCGTTAGTATCGCAGCCAGCCATTGGACTGCTCTTGAGGTGCCAAAAAACCAGGTCGGTCGAAGTTGTTCCAGAACCCCCTGGAGATCCCGTCGGTAGGCTATGGCTTGAAAATACGGGGACCTCCAACAAGTTATCCAGAGTTCTTAAGCCACCAAAGTCTTGGTTGGAAAACGGATCTAGAGGGTTACCAGTACCAGTGGTTTTAGAAATTTGTTTGAAGGACCCCCCAGTCAGACACTTTCGACCATCCTACGAAGCCAGAGAAACTTTGCTTCTCTGTCGCTTTCGACTTTTCTTGATGCCCTTCGCTAAAAAGACAACCTGAGTTGAACACCCTGAACACGGCAAAAGATGGGCTGTGTCGAAAAAACGATCGTGGGAGAAAAACAAAAAAGGACAAAACGCTCCAATGATCGAACGTTCTTAGAACATGTCAATTAAAACACACCAAAACCAGGTCCCCACTTTTCAGGGTTGCTCCCAACACCCCAGATTCCCACCCTGGTGGCGATCATTGACCTAGTGGGCCGGAGCAACCCTGGAAATTTACAGAGAAAACATTCAAAAACCATGATCCAATTGATCAAATGACCCAATTTGGTTTAGATTTTTTGAAGATATCAATGAACATAGGGGCTTGTCTGAAAATAGGATACCCCTAAATCATCCTAAATCATCCTAAATCCACTGGATAACAAGCGGCGCTTCCACAGAGGTAGAGCACATAGACCGCCTGCAGCATCTCCAGGGCTCCAGGGGTTGGGGAAAATTGCCTGCTGACATGGGAAAATCATCAGCAAATGGGAAACTCACGGGAAAGACATGGAAAGAACACCATGAATGTACTGATGATAAATTGTGTTGATTGTTCTTAAATGAGAATCAAATGATGAGTATCAAATGATGTTGTTGTTTTTGGTTTGATGATGACTATCACATGATGCTTATCAAATCGTGATCATTAGATGACGGTGATGCTGGGGAACTGGATTCCCTTCATTCAGCGATTGTCGTGTCTACCTCGCAAATGATGGCTATCTGGTCGTTCACTCCACTGAAGTAGATGAATAATTCAGTCTGAAGTGCACTAATGCTGATATACACATTGACATATAATTACATTAACGTATTATACTGATTTATGCATAAATATATTTATACGTAAATATGATGAGATTCATATATATATATATATATTGTTACATATGCATGTATTACATCATTGATGATGGGTATACTGTTTTTTTTGGATACCCTCTGGTTATTTAACATAGCCATGGAAAATCACAATTTTTAACAGGTAAACCATCTATAAATGGGCCATTTTCAATAGCTTTTTGTATGTTTACCAAAGGGTAGATATATCTCTGATATCGCTGGATGACCTACCCATGGTGAACCCCATGAGCCGCGCCGTGACGGCCAGGCTGCTGGGGCTGCGGATCATCGCCTGCGGGTCGAATTTTCGACACCGTCGCTGGGTAAACAGCCTGGGGGTCCTTGGTTACAACACATGGTACCCTCTGGTAATTTAACATAGCTATTGAAAATGGCCATTTATAGTGGATTTTCCCATAAAAAAATGTGATTTTCCATAGTTATGTTAGTTTACCAGAGGGTAACATATTTGGATAAATTGTTAATCATATGGAGATCTAAAATTAAATTGTCTGGATTCATCAACTTATAATAGTAACATATGTTCAGAAGCCTGTATGCAACCAACGATCTTGTACATTGGATGATTAAGTAAGCTTGGCTATGACTACTCATTGCATCGGAGGAGTATATGATATATGCGCAAAAAAAACAGTGTTAGATGTTCGAGGGGAACTATATGTCGTAAGTTGTAAGTAGTACATATAATTATATATATACATATTAAATTATATTGTATATTTATGATATTACATAATACATGCATATACAATATGTATCAATATGTAAGTATCACACATAATTGGAACAATCACCATCTGCGGATTGAAAAAAACAATAGCTGGTTTGTGGTTTCAATCCCGAAAAATCTCACTCATTGGACCCCGCAGCTTCCAATTTCTGAGCAAAGACATGGCAACAAAAACAATATGGTTGATATCACAGACCAGATTTTGATTTGTTTTTGGGGCTCACAAAGTTGTGGCTACAAGCTACACAACATGTACGCAACAATCCCCTAGTCAACTCTGCAAGCATTCCGTCCAGCTTTGGTGGGTGAGAAACATCCAAGAAATGCGGCATGACTCTATGACTGTACGATATCTTCGAGCACTTCTCAATCAGTCGGGTCACTTGAAAGCAGCCAAGAAAATCATGACAATTTGGCTCGACAAGTTGCCAGATGTTCAACAGGCTGCTTCTATATATGCTTCTATTACAGCTCAACCATATTCAACATTCAATCTGTCTGAACCATAATGACCATGTTGAGATGATTTACCACTCACAATCATTCCAGTAACGTCTCAGTGAGGTCGGTGAAATTCTTCCCACTATATAGGATCCTATAGGAATCCTATAGCTTAATTAGTTCACCATCCCCCAATCAACAAGCCGATCGAAGAGAAAAAGAACATAAATAATCCCCAATCAGATTATTTTACAAAGCGATACATTCCAATAAACATCAATTAGTATCATTTAGTATCAACAAACATCAATAAACATCAATAAACTACAATTACTCCGTACACCCACCCCTCCTTCACGACTCGCATCGCTGGGCCGCCACACTGCTCCGAGCGCCATCCACGCGAAGGACATGGCAATGCCCATCAGGGCACCCACGATCACCTGGGCCTGGCCCCAGCCACAACGTGGCGCTCTCCACTTCTGTTTGGTTGGATTGAAACATGTAAAAACTAAGATCACCTAGTTCATATATCGATCAAAAACCCAATCGTTGGCCTTTAGTTGTGTTTACAGAAAAAACATAAACTTAACATTTCCAAAATGGCAAATTTTGAGCAAAAGCGTCGTACCCATGTGTGATGGCCGCAAACCACGCGCAAGACCTCGGCTGCACCACAAGCGGTTGCTGAAAGGCGAAGGTCTGAGCACACACATAGTCGGGAGAACTGGTTCCACCTTTAACCAAACCTACGATTTAATTAGTTATATTAGCTTGTAATTATTCATTTAAGGCATTCGAAGATCAAGATCTTAGTTGTTTTGCGGAAAGCGGAAATCATCAATGTGAACAACGTTGAGGCATTTGATGTGACACTGTGCACAAAATAAACTTTTGAAAGGATGGCTGGGTGCCCGAGAAGTTTAGAATGTTCACAGTTCACATCCATATTTCAAAAATTTTCTAAGTGGTTTTGAAAAGGTTTGATCATCTCGGGTTCACATCACGTGGAAGACAAAAGAGGAAGACCCTGAGAGTTGTGGATTTCATCAACCAATAATGGTGACTTTATTCACGATTAGCTTAAAAACAGCTGTTTGGATTCCGGAACTGACCAAACCTGGGACTACTCATTTTAATAGGGCCTTCTCAGCCTACTCATGCCTACTCAGTGTACCCAAAAACTGTTATTAAGACATGTGGAGACATGATTTTCAAGTGTTGGATTTCGTTTCGTACCAACATTTCCAGACGAACCCATTTTCGGCTCAATTCATGTAGGTGTGTCCAACAACTGGGTACCCAAAGATCCAGTGGTTTCTCAACGTTTTTCTTATTGAAATTGCAATTTTGGGGTAATTATACATCGTTGCTGAACAAATCCAAAACATTCGGTTGAATCCTCGTTGCATCCCCATTCTGCTCACTATAATTTCCGAAATCCTCCCAAAAAACACATTGCTTAGTGTCCACGCGCTGACCAATGCTGCAGCACACAGCAGGAAGGCTGACATCGCGCGGGACCTTGGCTTGTCCCTTAGCTTGAAGGTACTCCCTAATCATTTCACATAGCTAAAATCACCACTTGGAAAAGGACAATCATCGAACTACATACATGGGCAATTTTCCATCTTTCCCCTAATAATGGTCAAAACATGGTATGTATTCCCACAAAAGTGGATGGTCATCAATCCATTAGCAGGAACTTATACATGCATCGAAAGGATGCCCAATACTGTATGGAAAATAGATGATCATATCGATATATATATATATATATATTGTGTTTTGACCCTGGCACAAGTTTTGATGTTAAATGCAATAATACCATATTCCCTATACAAATATATACATATATGTATATCAATAATATTGAATACCCAATTATATCAGAATATTCCCATATACCCATTGTACAAGTATTTGCATATATGTGGTTTCCCAATATTTGGAAATATGCAAAGTATATTGAAATACTTATATAATTATATAATCCAATGGACTATGTATATTCTCTATTGGAAATTCCCATACTAATATACATCAACATATTGGAAATACATGGCAATACGTAGTCAAATTACATTTATTGGTGTATGTATGAGGGTTTTATGTATATTATATTAATCAATATACGGTTGCTATACTATTACTTAGTTGGTATATACCCATATGTCTATGATAGGTTTATACATGATATTCATATAATGTTGGCACAACAATAATAAACCATCTCCCATTTATATCACCATTTTTATAGGGATATCAGTACGCTCAACACACTCCAGAAATGCCCTCCCTTCGCTCTGGCATCTTTTTTCTTCGGTGGGATTTGGCTGTTGCCCTCCTATGACAGGTGGCCTCAGTCTTCTCAACTCACTGAGCGTGATGAGTTGCAGACTGGTTGCCAAATGCCACTCACCCAAGGGGAGTCAGGGAAACGGGTCGACCCAAACAGTTTCCCCAAGGGTGGGAAGGGTGGGAGAAAAAGAGACACAAGGTGAAGGGGGATTTGGGCTTGACCCAAAATGGCACCGTGTGTCGGCCGCTTATGACATCCACTTTAGTACCTACACAAGTTTCGGCACAAGCCGTGGATATCAGTACGCTCAACACACTCCAGAAATGCCCTCCCTTCGCTCTGGCATCTTTTTTCTTCGGTGGGATTTGGCTGTTGCCCTCCTATGACAGGTGGCCTCAGTCTTCTCAACTCACTGAGCGTGATGAGTTGCAGACTGGTTGCCAAATGCCACTCACCCAAGGGGAGTCAGGGAAGTGTCTCCCAACGCTGTCAGTGACTTCCCTGTCTTCCCTACGAGGTGTTGGCGTCACTGCGACTGCACAAGCGGGGGTGCAGCGCCAAACCCGGTTAAATAAAAAGCTGGTGAAACGCTAGGGTTTGGAAAACAAGGCTGTACACGCTTATGCGGCCAAGCGTCAAGGGTTGTAAGAAGAAATCTGCCTGGTCCGTCTGCCAAATTGCTTTTGGACTCGACCCGGTCGATGTAAATGTCTATACCATGTTCGGCAGCTGTAAGCCAATAATCCCCGATTAACGGGGTAGTATCGGATTTGTTGGAATAACCTTTAACCAAATTCGAAGCGGCTGAATTGTTGTCTATGAAATGGATGAGCTGTGTGTTAGCCAGCTTTGCGGACCAGGTGTGTAGCGCAACAGGTGCGGCCAATGTCTCCAAAGGTGTCATATGATTCTCTTTGGGAAGCCATTGTGAAACAAGCTCCGGGGGAGCATGGCATGAAAAGTATTCTAGAGAAAAGGAGGGGGATTGTGTAATGAGGACTCCTCCCAAACCGTACCTTGGGTCGCGACCTGGGACATCCGATGCGTCTGTATAAAGAATGGCCGGCGGGCCACGGCTTTGTAGGTGGCAGCAGCGATGTGGGGCTACGGTCACCACATGCTTCATCAATTGCAGGGACAATTGAAGGATGGGGGTGATGTCATCGGGATTTCCCTGGGCATACTGCCTCTCGCGTAAAGCGCCTGTGCAGAATCTCCCCAGTTTCCCGAAGAGGGTACTGCAAAGAAACCCGAATTTGCCCAGCAGGCTGGCGGCCACGCTGGAAGGCAGATGGTTCCGATGCAAGATGGCGTCCACGGTGGCTACAAAGTTCCTCACCCTGAGGGGCTTAGGTTCGACCCTGAGGATTCGCTCCTCTATGAGAGCCTGCGTGTTAAACGCAACTCCTAACACATGGGTCACCTCGCTCGGGGGTTGCGATTTGTCTTCGTCTAACTCGAAGCCCAGCAATTTGAAAGCCTGCTGTAAGCAGAACATGCCCACCTTGCTTGAGCCCGGACGTTCCACGTAGTAATAGTCATCAAAAAAATGATCAAGCATCATACGGAACCCCCTCCCAATTGTCCTCGAAACCCACTCGGCCACGCGGTAGAAATTGGGGACGGAGTGTCCTGCTCCAAAGGGTTGACCATACATCTCATATAATTGTGCCTTTCCAAGCTTCGGATTGTAGATAGCTGTAATTGAAATGGCAGTCTGACTGTCGACTAGGGGTATTTGCCTGTATGCGCCCCTCATGTCCTCAGTCCCAATGACCAGCTTTGACCTTGTCTTGTGATATAAGCCCTTAATCATCACGGCCAAATAATCAACCATGGACATCGCAATTTTTTGTTTGCGGTGAGCCGCCAGGTTTGTGAACCCGGCCGAGTGATCGTCTATCCGACGGAACTTCGGCTCATTCCTCTCGTTTACCCCTTGTTCCAGTCCGAAGCTGGGGATAACGTTGTAATGGTTACCATGGCGCTCTACAAGTTCTTCATGGGAGAAGGGGCCGCCCATGGAACCCTGTGAGACTTCTCGCATGGTTTTTTCGTATATAGCCTCTGCCTGGCAATGACTCGCCTTGCCGGCCATAAACTCGACTCTACGAATGGTGGCCTGACGCCCGACCGGTGCTGTTGCCAGGAGCTCAGTCAACGTCATGCTGGCCGGGACGTCATAGGTGTCAAAGAACGGAGACTCGAGCGCTGACCCCACTATGGGCATGCCTCTGAGACAAAGGGTCGGGACTGAAAAGTCCTCTATGCCATAACGCTGTCCCAGGGCCTCCATATAAGGGCCGTTCGCGGCTTACGCCCAAGCTTGATGGCGTTGCTGCAGGCCAGAGCTTCATGCTCCCTCTGCTTGGCCTTGACCTCCTCACTGCTGGACAGCCTCGACCAGTCAGCCAAGACCCTCAGCCGGAGAAGGTTCATGTCCTTGTCGCTCGCCGTGTACTGCTCTAGTACCTCAGCGTGGTCCCTCTTCAGGACCTGTTGAGTCTCAAAGGGATGGCTGAGCTGCAGGGCCCGCTCGAGATGCTCTCTCTCGGATTCGAGGCCATCTGGTATTAGCTGCTCCCTCTTCCCATAGCTGGGTTGCCTTCCGGCCTCCAGCATAGCTAACCGATTGGTCGCTGTCTCCGGCGTCAAGCAGACACTCGGAGTTGCGACCGGCGTTGGTGTGGAAGGAATCACATCCCCAATGTCCATGATCTGAGCCAGGCGCTGCAGCTCCACTTTCAAACCTCTTTCGGTCTGAAGTCTGGAGCCTCTCAGCTCTTCGCCCAACTGTTCACAAATGGCCCTGCTGAGCGGCGCGTTGGGTCCGGAAAACACTTCTAAGAAGGTTCCCTCTGAGCCAAGCAACTTTTCCGCACACACAGCGTAGGCTGAACAAAAACCTGATGGGTATTCCCTTTCATCGCCCGTAGTGAACTGAACGACCTTACCCCCCGAAGTTGTGGGCCTCCATTTTAAATGTTTGAGCCCTGTGCGATCGCATGTTGCGCTCCCAGAGCAGGTTAGGCCCAGTTCTTTAAAAACAGGATGATTACAAATAAGCATCTGATTCTTCTTCCTGCGGCTCCCATGAAACATACATGTCTGATAATACACAATATATACGCCATCCAGTCCGAGAAGCCTCTGCCAGCTCCGCAGGTACTGCGCCAGACTCCTGGCTGGGTGCTCTATCGTGAAAAACCTACCCTCGTGGTGCGCTTGCGCGCGTTTCTCGGCTGCAAGATCCGCCATATGTGTATCGTCGTGTAGTTTTTTGAGGGACTTACTACTCATCTTTTCCAACTCAGATGGGATGCCCCTTGGGTAAGTCTCACTCCTGATGGGGCGGGGAGCGTTCTTTACACTTGGAATGGGTATCTCCCTAGCCCGAGAAAAAGTCGAGCAATTGGGGGCCCAATGCTCAAGAGACGCTTCCCGAGACTCAGAGTCTAACTTACCCCTATGCTTAAAAACACATTGACCACGCAACAAATCCCATGGTTCCATAACCCTGTATTGTGAAACTTTCATTTGGCTCGCCCTACAACTCTTAAATGAGCGACTGGCGGAAGCTGCTGCACAGGGCCTTTACATCGGAAGATCCGCCTGTCTCGATGAACGGCCCATTCCCTATTCCTTAGCCTTCTTTGCGCTGTTCTCCTTCTCCTTCTGCTTGAGCGCTTGTTCACGAGCTCTCTTTTCGTCCCTCTGCTTCCGGCGAAAGCCCTCCGGGAACTTGCAAAGAGGTTCATGCCTCTTCTTGCAGACCAAGCACTGAGTGAGCTTCTTCTTCTTGTTGGGCGGAGGGTTTTCCGGTCTCCTCCTCGGCAAAGGGGAGAGTTCTCTCCCTCGATCTGGGCTGGGAGTTCTGCCCCTCTTCTGGCCAGTGTACTTCTTCTCCACGCCCTGATCCGGCAAAGATCGTACAACCGGATCCAAAAGCCGCCAAAGTCCGATCTGGTTGTTCAAGAGGTGGTGTTTGATGCCTCCATCCAGTGTGCCCACTTCCCGTGCTAGCCAACGGAGAACTTCCTGATGAAGCGCCCTGTCAAAGCGCCGCACCTCCTGTATTGTCGGAGGCCTCATGCCCTCTGGGACCTCGGCCAGGATCACTCCGATGTACCTGTCATGGAGCATCCTGTAGGTAGAGAACTTGCCCACCTCGAGCATTTCCATGCACCTCGCTCTGATGTCCATCCTCTTGCGCAGCGTCTCCATGTCATTCGCTGGATCACCAGGAAGATCCTGTGTATCCTTTTCCCTCATGGCAAGGCGGCTGTCTTTGGTGAGAACGACCTCTCCCCTTGATTTCGGGAGGATGCCAGCTCTCTCCATTCTCCGCTCTTCTTCCAGGGTAAGGTAGGACTCCAGGGCCACATACTCAAATGATGCTCCCGGACCCACCAAGCTCCTGGCCAAGCGGGTCAGCGCGAAAAGAGACGGCCGCTCGGCGTCAGACACCGGTACAGGCATGCCTCGATCCACTGCTGATGTTTCCATGGCTACGGCGGAAGGCAAGCCTACTTTGACTCTTGAAGAGTCCTCACCAGAGGCCAGCTTCTCCAGCTCCGACTTGCAGAGTTCTTTGGAAAGGTACCAAAGCTTCCGCAGGGAGGCTGCGTCGTCTGACATCTTGAACGTCTGCCACTCCACATGGGGCGTCCTGTTGAACGTGATCAGCCCGTCCTCCGGGTCATTATACCCAGCCTGCGGACATATGGTGTCCCTCAGGAACTCTTCCAGGTTCTCCTTCGCGTGAATGCGGAGGGCGAAGGACTCGTAGGAGTGGATGCCAAGTGACGTCAAGACCAAGAAGTCAGACTCCGCTACTCCGAACTGGGCAGCTGACCTCTGGAAGGCTGCTGGTATTCTCGCCTGCGACAGGGCAGTCATCTCCCCCTAGGATCCGGTTTGGTTATTAATAGACAGGATATAGTCTAGGTTATCATCATTTTATGATAGTCTTTGCGGGGGTTGTCACATACTTGGTGATAGTCTATTATCAGGGAATGAAGAACATATATGCTGATAATTTTGGAAGTATTTTCAATATATCTTATAATTGAACATTTTGTTTTTTAATGCAACATGTACATTGGATTTTTTCCATGTGGTTCTCAAGTTTTGTTTTCGAGATTTTTTTGTCATTTTTGTAATTGCGTTGTCTACTGCAGAGACGATGTTGCGCAGAAGGCTGGATCAAATTGTCTTTGATTTCAACCAACAGTCTCTGCAGATAAATTAAAATATATGCTTTATTATTTTAATTAGTTATCACTCTGCATACATGAGTGCAAAGAAATAAGTAGATTAACTTTCCTTTAAATCATATTTTTGTGTCAATAAAATTTAAAAAAAGTTTTGTTGCATTTAAAGTTTGATTAAAGTTTGTTTCAAACTTTAAAAGATTAGATTCAAAGTTTAAATCAAACTTTGAAATTGTATGTTCAAAGTTTTAAGCAAACTTTGCATATTAAATTCAAACTTTGAATAAACTTTGAATAGAAACTTCTTAAAACTTTGAATTCAAAATTCAAAGTTTAAAAGTAAACATTTTAAACTTTGAAGATATATTCAAAGTTTGATTTATAAATTCAAAGTTTCAAATCAGTCATTTAAAACTTGACAAGTTACCTTTCAAAGTTTTAAATGTTTTAATATTAAACTTAAAATAATACCTTCAAAGTTTCTAATGTTAAATTATAAACTTTGAAGGTGAACCTTTTAAATTCTATTTTTAAAGTTTGAACTAAACTTTGAACAAACTTTAAATTCACTTTTTCGATTTATGTATTATTTGTCAAAATTTGTACCAAAAAAATCATTTTTTATTTATGATAAAACATGTTGCCTCATTTGGATTCAAGTTACCATGTGTCAGATTTCAAACATTTGTCTTCCAAAGCAATCCAAGGATTCAACGTCAGCACATACTTTGGCTCGTTACCTGATTCTGGTGAAGCATCGACGCACACAACTGATTTGGAAACACCAAATGCACACTGAAATGCACAGCAATACTGCAATTTTAAGCGCGCTTTAATTCAAAGCGCTAATTCAAAGGAAAATCTGCACTTTCAGTGTCATGCATTGAGTGAAAAAAAGTTCCGTCATTGGAATCAGACAGGTTTTTTCGTCATCTCGTTTCCGTTTCCAGTGTCCATGTCCTTCTCCGATTTTCACAAATTATCTTGTGTGTCTACTTTTTTTTAACAAAGACTAACCTTGCAAAAGCTTATCGTGATTTCGTGATAAGCTTTCGAAATAATCTATATAGACAATCATCAAGAAATCATGGATGATAACCTAAAAAGACTATTTATAACCTAACCGGATCCTAGGGGTCAGGCGGACCCGTTCTTTCGGGAACTTGGCGACCAGAGTGCTGCGGCTAATATGCAGTCACCACCATGCTGCCAGTAGGCAACGGTCCCAAGGTTACCCCGGTAAAAAAACCCTTACAGGTGAACCTTTCAGGGTAATTTGTGGGTGCTCTCAGAAATCCTGCTGCACTCATGACTGCTCATCTCGCGCAACTCCCTACAAACAGGTTTTTCTCCGTTTGCAAGGTACGCACGGTCGCTCATATTATGGCCCCTCCCGCTTTGGGCCCGGAGAGTGGAAACAGCAGTGATGGTCTTTATGATCCTTCGAACCGCCCTCACACCTCCTGGAACACCTGTACACGGTGATATCACTCTTACCTAGGTACATATGACTACAAATCTCGCTACATCCCCCCTCAGTACTTGGACGGCATCGTCGGCACAGCTTGGTGATTGGATCCAGCGGGTCCTCCACCTTCATCAGTTCAAAGCTGCCTGACGCACCACAGCGAGGGATGGCTTTGGTGATGGGCTTCTCCTCCAGGCTGGCCACTGACGGGAGGTGGACTTTTGGGCGCGCGCCTGGAGTTTTGGCCTGCACCCTATAGGGCGTGAGGCCCTCGGAATCGACCTCGTCCAGTGCCTCCTGAGGATCGGCCAGGGACTGCTTCGCCTTCTCCTCCTCTGCTTTCTGCTTTTCGCCTTCGGATCCGGATGCACCAGGTTCAGTGTCTGCTGCCTCCTGTTCAGCCTCCAGGACGTCGTTCAGGTCTCTGTGGGCGGTTGCAGCAGTCTTCTCTAGGTCCAGGGTCTTCTGGTCAATCTTTCCGTCCTCGAATGCCTCATCAAGGGATGCCACATCAGCGCCGACGCCGAACTCAGCTGCCATGGCTCTTTCGCGCCGGGATTCCTCTCCTGCACGACCCTCCCGAGAATTCTCGGGGTTGATCGGTTCTCCTACCAGACGGATAAGGTCCCCCCCCTGACGGAGGTACTCCAGACACTTCTCCTGGCAGCTCAGGATCAACACCTGAGACTCCCTCAGGTAGGTGTCCGGCATGGTCTCTGTCTGTGAGGACCAATTGCCCTGCCATCGGACGACTCGCTTCGGAAGATTCAAATGCTGCATCAAACTGGACAACGAAGCTTTCGCTCCATGCCAGCGCAGCACCTCTACTCCCTCTGCGGTGAGCCCCACGTTGACCTCCTCTGACAAGAGTTTCCCCAATGCACTCTTCACAAGCTCCACGTCTTTTTCGAGCCTGGAAGGCGTCTTGAGGAACTCACTGCCAGACGGCAATTTGCCGAAGTGATCGTCTGAATGCCAAGTGGCCCCGTGACTTTCCAATACCAAGGACATCAGCGTGGGCAGCCAATTGTCATTCTCCGCGCAAGCACCTCTCAGGGAAGCAACCCACAAGCGTGGACCGGTCTTTCCCCGCAGTGCACGAGAGCGCAGGCCAATGACTTCCTTCTCGCCAGGCTTTCTCAGCCACTCACAGGCTGCAAGCGGCGTGTTCAAGATATCATCGTAACGGGTTGATGACTGGATGCACAAGCGGAGCTTCCCGCAGGCAACGCGCTCCGTCTTGGGCAGAAAGCCATCCATCACGCACCTTTCCAAGGCCACCAATGTGGCCTTCTGGAAGCCTGGCGCGCGGCTGGTCGCCGAAGTTTTGGACTTGGCAAAGGAGAGGGCGAGGCGCTTGGCTCTGTTCCAAGCTCCCCCTCTCATTTCGTACCCAAAGGCTGAAGCGAAATAGTCCACTGCATAAAGGAAGCTCCTCGGTGTCAGGTATCCAACTTGTTGATGCATGAGGTGTTCTACAAACTCCAGGACTCCTAGACGGGCGTCCAGGGACTCCAAGGAATCTAGATCTCCTCTGTTGGCTGACCTCCAGTTGAGAAACCGGGTCATCAACCTTGTATAGTTCAAGCCTGTCGATGCTCGGTTTGGCCTTGTGAGCAGCCTGAACCGGTCTCGATCAAAACGTCCGTGGTCCACCAGCGTCGATGTCCATGGGCACTTTCAATTTTTTCATCATGTCGTAGACGTTGTGACACTCCTTGTGATATCTGCTCATTTCCTTGGCTTCCAAGGCTGCTACCGATCCCGGAATATCAGTACCTCTCCTACGCCTCCTCTCCCGACCACCTGAATCTCCAGGGGGAGGGGGCGGGGGCGGTTCGGCCGGTTTCACGAACTTGACTTCCGGTGTGTTGGGTACTCCATCCTCACGATGGGACTCCCCCACCGGTCGTTTCTTCCCTGGGGGCGGCGTCGCCTTCTTGATGAAAGGAACACTCTCGGGTCTTCCCGACGAAGGCAGCGCTGAAGCGCTAGCGGAGTTGGACCCGGGTGGAACCAACTCGCCAGCTTCAGCCCCTCCTGAAACCCAGGGCGGCAAAGCCTCCTTTCCAGCTCCCAGTGACTCCAAGATGGCCCTCTGCTTGCCCAATTCCTTGTCCCAGCCTTCTTGGTCCGAAAAAAGATCCTCAGGAATGTCATCCCGGTAATCCTTCCTGGACTCAGTTTCTTGTAGAGATCCTGCTGATGCGCTGCCCACTGTGCTACGTTCTTCGTGTTGCGTCATGCTGAGCACATGAGGGCCTTCGTGTCCCGCACGGATTGCTTCCACTAACTCGTTGGGATTGCACTTGGCCTCCAACATAGAAGCTATCTCGAACCTCGCCGCCCAGGCTCCCGCTGCAGTTATCCCTGTTGTAAGCCCCAAGGAGAGGGATCGCGGTCTTTTCTCAGGTCTGGCTTTCACGTCAAGCCCCGGCGCCAACCTCCTCTGACCTGCGCTGCGGGACCTGCTCACCCTATGTCCCATGGATGGGCTGTAACTAAAGCTACGCCCCACCTGTTCTGGGACTCTGGGGTAGGAGTGGCTCGGTCTCCTGGGCGGCGGAACTGCGGGTCTCTTCCAGCTCGAAGGAGGATAGGCCGGCTCAGGGGGTGGGAGTGACCCTCGCCCCCCGGTCCGGCCCCTCTCCACCAAGCGACTGTCTTTGTTCCTGCCGTACCTCCTCTCGTCTCTATCCACTTTAGCCCTTCCCCGGTCACCACTGCGTCCCCTACCTCCCTCCATCAGATGGGTTGGAGAAAAAGAGACACAAGGTGAAGGGGGATTTGGGCTTGACCCAAAATGGCACCGTGTGTCGGCCGCTTGTGACATCCACTTTAGTACCTACACAAGTTTCGGCACAAGCCGTGTGGTATCTTTACCATTCCTACTAGTAAATGGGTGGTTTATGGCATGGTTTTATCCACATTATATCCTATATTATCACTATATCAACATTATTTTCAACATTAAAATCCATCCAAATCTCCTATAGGATTTATTATCCAACATTATTATCCAACATTATTAACCGTTCCATCCATTATCCATTTGGGAATGGTTTATACTACCCATCTTCATTCTATTAGTGTCCAACATACCTATAAGGACTCCAAATGCCCTTTTATTTTTGCCTTTTAGGAAAAACGCGACTTTGCCTGGTAAAAGGCGCCTTCTGATGGTTCCCGGCGATTTTGCACCCGCGCCGGCAATTCTGGTTTGCATTTTTATTTATAGTTATTCATGTTTAATTGCCCACAATTCCGGCGTAATTGCCCGTAATTCCGGCGTAATTGTAAGTGGGCATAAACTTTTGCAGTCGATTATGGGGCAGCTGACTTTGATGTGGGGACATCACTGTTAGGTCTGAATTGAACCATGTATTTCTTCATATCCTAGACCTCCCCATAGTTAGAACTCCCTGGGAAGTAAAACTGTATGTTATTAAAAAGTACAAGATAGTACAAGTGCGACATTTGTTGTACACGAGAGGCCCGCGCACACCCGGACCTGGAATCTGAAAGCAGCACTTGGACCAAAACCATGCAAAGTTAGTTAACAATGTCGACATACGAGCGTAAATCAACATGTGCTCAATGTGCTCGCCGAAGAGGTTCCTAAAGATACTAATAAGAATCAAATTCCTTCACTAAGAAGTCAATTGACTAATCATGTCAAACCTGTAGCGTCGCCCCAATACAAACATCAATTAGAAAGCGCTTGGCAAAGAAGTTCGCTGACAAGCGCCTTTCTTTGAAATTACGAAATTATATTCAACCAAGGTCAAGCACAATTTGCTGCCTGAAGAGACACCTTAATCAGGACCAAAGTATCTACTAAAAACTTTACATATATGATTCACATTCATTTTGTATCAACCTAATTTAAAGCCTCAAACACATGGCCTCTTTTATTATTTCACCATGTTACCAGCTAGGGTCAAGAATGACATTAGCCAGGACTCAGTTTGAAATGATGGAAAACTTGAAAATGACAAAAAACAATACCAGGAGATATATTATTTCTATTTATTAACTAAAGGATTTTGAATGAAACCCATGCATAATTATAACCACGTATAGTCATATAGATAATTCATTACAATAAGCCCAGGAAAAAAAAAAACACATACAGCGACTTACTTTATGTTCCACATATATAATTATATCTCTGTGATTTATCTTGAACATAGCTATGTACGTTCTGTTCTGCAAACATTTTCATGTACCCAGCATGCATTGTTCACATTCCAAATGCCCACGCGAGCAAGAAGCGTTAATCCATTTTCATGGTTAGGTAGACCGATTTTAAAACCCCAAGGTCCTCAAAGTCAGGATCCTAGATTATTTGCCATGGCGGCTGGTACAGGTTAAATTTCACATTGGGAAACGAACATGCAGCAGGGAATCATGGGTAGTCATGCATCACCAGATTTATGGATTTCCGCCGAAAAAAATCCAAGATCAGCAGAACTCAGGCGCACATGTTGTGATGTTGAGTTCTGCCGAAAATATTTTTTCAGCAGAAATCCCAGGGAAAACCGTTGAATCAGCAGAAGTCCAGAACACAAAACCAGAAGATGAGTTCCGCCGAACCATAGGTCTGAATACTAAGTTCCGCCGAGAATTTTTTTCAGCAGAAGTCAGGTACACAATTTGCGTAGTGGAGTTCTGCTGAAAAAAAACTAAAGTCCGCAATTTTGTTTGCAATCGATTCGGGGTCACAGGATCCCAATTTTCCGTCGATTTTTTTCAGCAAATATCATGCCCCATAATCGGCCGCAACGGAAAAAAGGTCCACAAAGTCCGCAGAGATTTGTTTGGCAAACTAATCTGAGACTTCAATGCAAAGTTCTGAGCCCTAGACCCTACCCTACTTCTTGGCCATGGGTGGCACATGTGATCGGGAGGAACTTGCCTGGGTAACCCTTGGAAAATCGTGTGGACTTGGTGATGGGCAATATAACCACATTACCATGGTCTGGCCCCATGCTTTTTGAAAGCTCCAATGGACTGACAGAGGGTTTAATTTAAGTATTCCCTTCCCCCTTCCCTAATTAATGCTCAAATTCACCCAAATACTCAAAAACATGTTAAAGCATGTTAAAACTAGGTAAAGAAAAAGTAATTGTAATTATACTACAAGTGCGACATTTGCTATACAGGAGATGTCCGCGCACACCAGGACCTGGAATCTGAAAGCATGGACCAAAACCATGCAAAGTTAATCAACATCAACAGTATCGACAGAAGAACGAAAATAAACATGTGCTCGCCGAAGAGGTTCCTAAAAATACTAATGAATCAAATTCCTTCACTAAGAAGTCAATTGTCCAATCATGTCCAATCTGTAGCGTCGCCCCAATACAAACATCAATTAAAAAGAGATTGGCAAAGAAGTTCCCTCATAAGCGCCTTTCTTTGAAATTATGAAATTATATTCAACCCAAGGTCAAGCACAATTTGCTGCCTGAAGAGACACCCTAATCAGGACCAAAGTATCTACTAAAAACTTTACATATATGATTCACATTCATTTTGTATCAACCGAATCCAATCCTCAAACACATGGCATCTTTTATTGTTGAGGTCCAAGGCCACCATTTCAATCCAGTCCGCCATTTAAGGTCAATACTAAAGTTGTAGTAAAATTTATATATTGAAATAATAAGGGGAAAAGTTGGCAAATAGTTTCTATTAACTTCAGGAAACTTACCAAGAGCATGAAGGGGTGAAAGGGAACTATCCGTTAAATCAAACTTAAATTTGGATGATCTATGACCCATGATCTAGATCCTGAGACCCCAATTCGATTGCACAAGTTTGTATCTTTTCTGTACTTTGTTGTCTTAACATACACCTGTAGATCCGGCATTTTTTGAATTCTCCGGCGTTTTTGCAGAATTCCGGCGTTTTTACAAGTTTCCGGCGTAAATTCAACAAACATTTGCCTCCTTCAAAAAAAAATGCCGAAAGAGTTTCTAGGTATGTCCGACATCCCCATAGGCCATCATAGGCCACTCCGCCAACTGCCGTCTCCAAGTGGCTGCACTTCCAAGGCCCAGCCAACCGCCATGAAGGTGGCCACCTGTGTGGGGAAACCATGGGGAGACCCATGGGGAAACCGACACATCCAAATTTTGATGGTTTGGTTCATCATTTATCATGAAATATAGATACTGTAGATCGACGGATGTTTCAATATCTATCTATTTTACAATCAAAACACAATATATATATATATAATTATACAACATCCAATTTAGTGTTCAAATCATCTGTGTGTGTGTGCTAGATTACTCAAAATATGTTGGAATTGATCAATGTGAATGTAGGATAATGTAGGTAAATATACGTAACACACATGAACGATCTGGCATCATTGCAATCATTTGCTTTCTGGTAATTTGACATAGCTATGAACATTGATGCGTTTATGGTTGATTTACCCATTCTATAACGCTATGTCAAAGCCATGTTAAATTACCAGAGGGCACATACTACATAAATAACTGCTCAGCATATTGTAGAACGTTAATCTATATAATCTACAGTATGAAGAAAATATGTGTACAACTGTTGACCTCAATAATTTCCCATTAGGAGTCGGCTTGGTGACATTCACTAACAATCCTGTGAAGTCGGAAAAGGATGGAAAAGGACACTTGAGGACAATTGTAAACTGTAACTCACCGTGGTAATCTGACCTGGCAATCTGAAAAAATATGGTGCCCAATTCCATACATACACATCCATACTGTGCTAATATTGGTGACGCATACAACTATTAGGTGCGCGACTTAAATTTGGGCCTTCCCAAAGTCAGTCACTGGCGGCTAGCTACAGCGGTCATGCAGGCTCATAGGATTCTGCAACCTAAACGACAAATCACATAGGTTTTGCATATGTGTAAACAACCAATCTGGCCGTTTCAAAGTACATGTTTTGTTTCCTTCATCTGTGAACAAAGACAAGACACAAATCGTCATTATCCTTGGTTCAATGTTCAATCCATGTTTCTTGATTACCATCTGGTTATTTAACATAGCCATGGAAAATCACCATTTTTAATAGCTAAACCATCTATTTCTATGGGCCATCTATACCATGGCTATGTTAAATAACCAGAGGGTAAATCCTCTTTCAAGTAACCATTAATGATTGCTTCACCTTGTCCTGGCCACCCCTGCGGAAAAAGGGCACCAGAGCATGCGAGGAGGGCATGCCGGGATCGTCAAAGGGAGACCCTTCCGGCCGCTGCTGCTTCACCAGGAGCCTCCAAAGAGGACGTGTATCACCAGGAGCCGTGGGGGTTTCGGGGGGTCCCAAAATACACCATGGAAATGTCAGCAATTGTTAGGCAAATGGGAACTGGTACTTGCCAACGTTTAATGGGATTTAATGGGAATTCACCCACAGAACTGGGGTTTCACCAACAAACATCTGGATTTGACATAGAAACTAGCGTACCGGCGTACCTTCTAAACATCGACAATCCCCTCTTTTTCTTGGCTATCCACTTTGGACCCAAACCCAAAGTGCAATCATGGTTGCTAAAGGAACAAAAATGGAAACCAAAAATATTGAAGAACGTAGGGATGGTAATTTGAACCATCTGGCATACATCAAACATGGCAGTGCACAATCACCTAGCCTATCCATGGATTTTTTTTGAAGTGGCATGAACGTAAGATGAAATCACTGCTTCGCGGGGCATTTCCCAAACTTACATAAACTTACTATGATATACTTGGATGTGCATACGAGTTTGTAAGTGGTGAATAAACGAATCACCCCAGTTATACTCGGGTTCGACATGGCTTACACGAGGCTCATGAACCACTGATCAAGTGCGTGTTCAACCCCAAACCTAGGATTTTTGGTTCCTATTCATTACCAAAAATATACTGCGATCATTTTTCCAAACAGTTCCCCGTGATTTTGCCACATGATATCACCACAAGGCACCCATTCTGCCGCTTCCCCGCACTTGATGCGCTTGGTCAGGAAGGACGCTGCGATGCCGCCCAGGGTGATGTAAGGACCTCTGATCTTCAGAGGACTGGCTGATGATGGTGATCTATAGGGGTACCCCCAAATCATCCATTTATAGATGAATTTTCCATGAAATAAACCATCCAGCTATTGGGGTACCCCCATTTTAGGAAACCTCCATATAGTACCCTCAGGTGATTTGTCATAGTTATGGAAAATGGCCAACTTATAGATGGTTTATGTTGATTTACCTAGTCATCATGGTGATTTTCCGTACCTTCGTTAAATAACCAGACGGTACTTTGAAAAAAACTAGTTGTACATATCCATACCAATGTTTTCTGTTAAAATTATTAGTAGTGCAAACCTCAGCAATATGTTTGACAGTATAATGATGGTGATGGAATTTGTATCATTGAAATCATTGATAATATTTGATACCAGTAGTTATTGTTGTTACCAATATTGTCATATGATATGATTTGATATGATATGATAATGATATTATATGATAATGATAGGATATGATAATGATATGATGTATGATAATTTCAATCTTGTATTACTTGTATTGTTGATGTCGGGATGTGTCAACACCCTGGCAACTACCCTGATAAACACCAAAGATCCAACAATCAACACAACTTGCAGTTATATAATGTTATACAGTATATGGATGCTCTTCATCCGCCAAATTAAACTATTGAACATTCAAAGTATTGACCCATCCCCATACTCGAGAAATACATGAATGTAACCAAAATCAATCGACCTCCACATTCGGTGAGGCACTTGAACAATGCCAACACTCGTGCTTTCTTTGTTTGTTTGTTTATTTGTCTGTCAGTATGTTTGTTTGTGTGTTTGTTTGTTCGTTTGTTTTAGCCATTTGGAGCTATACCCATCTCAGACCATCAAAGCCAGCTGTGATCCATCTGCTATCTAATGAGTCCACTTTGCTGTTCAACTCCTGTGTGTTTAATTATCTGAACATAGGATACCCCTCAAACTTTTGATGGCATCGTACTTTTTTCCCAGATGAGATTTTCTATGTTCATCCATTCTCAAGGGATACCCCTTTTTCTATCAATTGTTCATCTATCATTTGTGTTTGTTAAGTTTCTTCCCATCTTTCCGCGACCCCCAGTGTCTAAAAGCCATGGCCCTGGCTCAGGAAGTCCCTGCGTGTGATCACGGCCGCCGTCCTGGGACGTGATAGGATGCATGTGGGATGGTCAATGGTCATCCAGCCCATCATTGGGATGGGTCAAAACCCATGAAATTGCCAAATGACTGGGGGAATCAACATGAATCAACATCTATTCCCCAGCATTTTTAGTGTATTAGGGTCCCAGGGTTTTGACTCATATCCATATCAATGGGGGGTTCCTAAAATGGGGGATCCCCAAGTCACCATGGGTTTCAATACTAAGTCATGGTCTAATTTAGATTATTTGGGGGTACCCTCATTTTAGGAGAAAGTATCTAATGTCTATTAATGAATTGATGACCATACACCAATACCATCCAATACGGTATGATGATGTATGGTGTATATAGTAAGACTTTTTGCTATGGCACACATGATCCTCATCTGCAGACTGCAGCTTCTCATTGGGCGTTGTTGCCAGGTAATGAAACATGGCTGGCTGGAACATTACCACTTTTTGAAGGTAAATCCTCGTCAAATTTATAACCTGTGCGATTTGCTATCACCCGGGTTTGATTGCCAAAGGGTAAGGTCTTGTTAAGGCGTTAAGGGGTTACCAACCACCATGAAACCTTAGCAGGAGTGAACCTTCGGCCACCAAATATTTGGGGGAGCTTGTGACGAGTACCTTGACAATTCCATGATTTTCCAAAAACAAATCAGGTAAGGAGAAAATGAAACATACTTCGAACATCTTCGAACCATCAACCAGTTACAGAACCATGGTTGTTTGCATCCTCAAGCTTTGCTGGCAAAGCGGCAAACCTGCATCTTTGGTGGTGAAAATCAACGTTTACCCACAAACATCGCTAATTCATGATTTTTCCATAGATATGGGACTTTCCTAAAACAGGGATACCCCAAATCATCCGAGGAGAAAGGCTGCGCTGCAGAATCAGCCCAGAACGCGGACGCACACTTTGCACAAGCCTACACCGTCGAAACGCATGTCAACAGTTCACAAGAGCCACCTTAAAACGGAAATTTAGAGGGGAAATGCCGGCGCCCAAAGCCAGCACCTTGATCAAGCACTGGTTTTTTCACACATATACCGTAAGAGCACCTCAGTGAGCCTCAGTGTGGATACGCTCTTGGGGAATCATCGTTTCATATATACGTTGTCATACAGCACCACTTTTGAGAGGTACTGTACATTTGAATATGCGGTATGGATATATTCGGATATATGTGTCTCTATATATATATATACATACATACTATATATATAATATATATATATATAGATACATACTCTATATCATATTATTTGTTCAATTTACCTTAAAAAATGCATATACTGTACTTTTGAATATGCTGTATGGACATATAGCATATTATTTGTTTAATTTACATTTTAAAAAAAAATGATTTTTTTAATTATATTAAATATGCTTCTACATTTCCAAAATTTGAATATATAATAATATATTTATAAAAATAGTCCTATATGATGAGATATTCAAATTTCAAATATGAGTGAATATGTTAAGTGAAGCATTAATTGTTCAAGCCAGAACTCCAATTGCATTAATTCTTCAAAAATTAAAATTCAATCACTACAATGCAACCGCCACGTATCCAAATAGATCTTTAACTCTAATTCTAAGTCGCGATGTTTGTTTGCTTTGTTTAATGCCTTGCTTGCTTGCTTGCTCGCTTGCTTGCCTGCGTGCTTGCTTGCTTGCCTGCATACATGCATGCATGTGTGCATTTCCTTAAATCGCTATGCTTTTCTTAGTGTGTGTTGAATGTGTTTGATCGCCCGTGCTTGTGCTTGATTCCTTACACCTCTTGCGGGGATTTAGTTTTGTGTCGTTGGTTCCCTTCAGCATGGCATCTCTCCCTTCCCTCCCCCCGTCCATCTAACCCGCCTTCTTCATCCTTCTTTTTCCGTCTCAACACCTCTCGCGCTCCTTCTCTCTTTCTTTCCTTTTTCTCCCCAACACTTCCCAATTCTCTCCCCCCTCTCCCTCTTCCTGGCTCTCCCGCTGTCTCTCTCTCTCTCTCTCTCTCTCCTCTTTCTCTTTCTCTTTCCCTCTCTCTCCCCCCCTCTCTCTTTATATCTTTATTATCCTTTTTTCGTTTGATACTCTTCAAACAAGATGTCAAATATTGTCAAATTATGTTATTAATCTTTTTTCAGCGGCCACACGCTGAAGGAGTAGAAGCTGCGCGGCAGCAACGCAAAAACGAAGGATCCCCGGCAAAGCTGTTGCAACCACTTCAAAATGCAAGTACCAATACGTTAATGTTAGTACTCCAGCCGTTGCAACAGCTTTGCCAGGGTCCTAAAGAAAGAGAGCCAGGTGGTGTCGGAAACTTTTTTTGAATCAGAACGAACCTCTACATTCTTGTTGCGACCATATGTAACGGTTGTGAGTGCTCTGACACGGAGGAAAAAAAGTTTCCAACCTGAAAGGAGTACGAGAATCCAAGGCGCAAAGTACGAAGACATCATGCCAGTAGTACCGCACAAAGCGGCGGCGGAAGTTTCAAAGATAGGCAAGCTATAGGAAGGGTTGGTTGGTTGTTGTGACTCACGGATGGCAGAGCGAATCCACTGATGGACCGAAAGGTGGTTGGAGTTGTGTTTTCTGGGGCGGTTGCAATGGTTGCAGCGGGCACCCCACCACGACTGCTGGATGTAGCGTGGTGCAGTGCAGTGGCAGTTGTAGTGATAGGTGTAGTTGTAGTTGTAGCATAGTGGTGTTGTAGTTGCAAGTTGTGGTTGTAATGTAGTGGGACTAGTGTAGTGTCGCTGCACTTGCAGTTAGTACTTGCGGTGCGGTGCACTTAGTGTAGTGTACTGCAGTTGTATTTGTCTATCTATCTAACTGTCTATCTACAAGCTTGAAAACGAAGCTATTCTGCGAGACTTCCTCCGTTTTGGAACTTGACAACGTCGAAAACGAAACAAGTGCGCGAGACTTCCTCAATTTGTGAACTTGACAACATCCAAAACGAAACAATTCTGCGAGATGTCCTAAATGATTGAACTTGACAACGTCAAAAACGACACAATTCTGCGAGACATCCTTAATGTTTGAACTTGACAATCCAAAATGAAACAATTCTGCGAGGCTCCCTGAATTTTCGAAGTTGACAACATCAAAAACGAAGCAACTCTGCGAGACAGCCTTTAGAATTGGAAGTTGAGTGCGCAGCTAACGGCCTCGTGCCCATGTCTCGAGATTTTTCCACTCCACCTGTCTAAAGCATTGCGCCTGCCACGGAAAAAAAGTGGTGCCAGGACATACAAAGCGCTGCACCTGTGACGCAAAATCATCTCAGCAAACCTGAAGATCTGATGCTCCAAAATGCGACCCTTCTCAGGAAATCAGCGCCCGGACCTCCTAATGGCTCTGATGAACATGTCTCTTGTACTGCGCCTGCCACGCAAGATGCATCTTTGCAGATCCTCTTGAAATGTGCCACGCCTGCCATCGTTTGTGGAAATGCTACAAAACCCTGCCTTTTTGTTCACTTTTGACAAGGTGCACAACCCCTTGCGCCTGCCACGCGAAACGGCATCTGAACGTCCAAAGGTGTTCCGAACATGTGATTTTTTTGAAAATAAACATTTTGACCTCGAAATGCGCTTCGCGCCACAACGGGGTGCACTTTTTCGGCATCTCAACTTTCAAAAGCGGTCCAAGGCTGAGGTGTTTCGTACATTTTGACTACGACACGTGCTTCGTGCCGCAACGGCGTGCATTTTTTTCGACATCGCAACTTCAAAAAGCGCTCCGAAGCTCAGGTGTTTTGTACATTTTGACTTTTGCGTTTTTTCCATTCCACTTGTCTAAAGTACTGCGCCTGTCACGAAAAGGTGACGTCAGCTCTTGTATGTCAGAATAATATGCCAGAAGTGGATTCATAGATATCGTAGTTAGTGCCTCGGATTTTCGCACTCCGTTCAGCAAGCCGGGCATGCAATGGTTTCTATTTTATAGAAACCTGCCGGGCTTGCCCACCTTAGGGTCCATCCAAGTGACTGGACCCCAGTGCTTGCTTCCTTTCGGAAGCGCACAGCTCTCTTTCTTTAAAAAAACATCGCAAGCATCCAAGACCCCTTCGAGTGGAGCCTCACCATGAAGTTTTGATGCCCCCACCACGGGCTCTTCTTCTGGTGAGGCTCCACCCGACCCGCAACAAGCTGCTTCAGCTCCTGCATCAGGAGCCGCCGAAGGAACTCAAATTTATCCCGGATTAATTTCTTGGGGCCAAGCTTTTTTCGGAATAAACGTTCGTTCCCAAAAAAGAGCACAACCTCCAGGCGTACACGGTACACATGAAACATATCCAGAATCAATTTTGGGACCATGGGGGCAAAACATCTCCTTGGATAAAGTTCCAGTGGCCAAGGTCCTGTTTATCTCTTTGCAAGTCTCCAACAAATTCCGCTCGGAGAAACTCCACTCTTTTCTTTGGTTGCAACCCCAGTGTGGCTGAATATTTTTCCATGGGACACACCCCCTGAACTTTGAAAATACCAAAGTTGGGCCCGAATGAATTTCCTAGAGGGAAAATATCTTCGGGCACATGGTCAGGAAAAAAAATCTTGCCAGCACGAACCCGGTTCCTTTTACGTACGATGCCTACCTCAGTCTCGGGGTCTTCCTACCTCGTTTTACAATTTAACTATATCCGTCCACCCACCCATCCATCCGTCCGCGCGGGTTTGCGGCGGCACAGTCATCTGCACCGTGTCCTCCTCCTGCCGGATTGGTTGGTAATGTCAGCATATGTCAGCATTGAACTGTCACTGCAGAGATCAGGGCTCCTGTGGCGGAGGAGGAGCCACAGGCGCAGATGACGAGGATGCTGACGAAGGAGGTGGTGGCAGTTTCTCCTCCAACAGATTTAAGAGCGAGGAAGTGACATGACCCGACAAAGGCTAGGAGTATACTAGGAGTAGGAGTTGAAGTGCGCCTGCCTTCCCGCTAACCACGCGTTCCGCGAAGAGACACTGGCTAAAGAAGCTCTTGTCCTGCGCTATATGCAATGGCAAAGTGGGCGGGTGATCGGTTCTAAAAAGGTTTCTACCATTTTCCACACAATTTTGATTACACGCGTCCTTCACGCATGGGTGGTTAAGAGCTGCTTTGCGGAGCTCCCAATCCGCTTGTTGCTTGGCCTTCGCCTCCAAATCCATTCAGATCCATGGGAATTTCAGGTTCCTAAAATGGAGGTACTGTGTCATATAAGGCCACATTTTGTGGGTTCCTTCTGCCTGCCTTGGCCTTTTTCTCGGCTACTCTGACATTGCCCGACCTCCAACCAGGACAACGCGTTATATAGTGTCTGTGGCTCGATGCGATGACGAATGGCATCTGCTTGTGTGTTTGCAGGCCTGCCGTGGCGCTTCTTGTCGTCAGGCCTGCAGCACTTGTGCACCCAGACGTTCGACTGTACGGCCATGGCCTCAGGATGCAAGGTAGTCTCGCATGCACTCATCCGTCAGTCCACGTGCCGTCATAACGCTCAAATCTTAGATTCTGACGGTGGTTGGCAGGTCAGTTCGCGAGTTTGCGGCCGGGCGCTAAGGCTTAGGGGGTCCGGAAGCTGCGGGTATCCAAAGGCTTGCTTCAAAAGTCCCACGCCTGCCATCACAAAACCATCACGTTTTGCTCACTTTTGAGAAGGTGCGCAATCCCTTGCGCCTGCCACGCAAAACGACATCTGAACGTCAAAAAGTGGTCCGAACCCGTGGTGTTTTTAACATTTTGACTGCGAAATGTGCTTCGCGTATCTTCGCGCCACAACGGCGTGCACTTTTTCGACATCTCAACTTCTAAAAGAGGTCCGACCATGGTGTGCTTTGTACATTTTGACTTGGAAATGTGCTTCGCGCCACAACGGCGTGCACTTTTTCGACATCGCAACTTCCAACAGTGGTCCGAGAACCGTGTGTGTCTTGTGCATTTTGACTTCGAAATGCGCTTCGCCCACAACGGCGTGCAATTGTTCATCGCTCATCTGGCCAGATGGCTCCGCACCCGCCGCTTTAGCGAGCCTACTTTTCGACCCTCCGGAGCCACAAATCATCGGAAAAACACAGTGAATCGCGACTTTCCTACCTTTTGGCACATCTGCATCTTCTTTCTTCTGGCTCTTTCTCTTCTCTGATCTTCTCTCTTGGGCTTTCCTCTTCTCTCTGACTCTTCCCATCTCTGCTTGTCATCTGTCCATATTGTCGGAAGTTTGACTTCAAAACTTCTGTCGACTACAGCACATACATTACCTACATCATCAACATCATCAACATCATCATCATCATCATCAATCTCACCTGCACCATCTACATTGCCGACACAATCTTTTTCCATCTGTGTGCACCTGCGTCTTGCCTGCTCTGTTACCGGCTCGCGCCATCCCTTCTCCTACTCTGCTACCCGCACGGCTATCCCTCCACCAAGTCTTGCACCAGGTCACTTCAGTGGATTCCTTGTTTCAATTGCAACGGGCCGCCTGCCACGCAAAAGCGGCGGAGACCAAGGGACACCAGAGGGACGCCAGAGGGACGCCAGGGCGTACATCCGACCCCTTAGCAATGGACATTGTCCCACGCCTGCCACGCAAAAGCGGCAGAGACCAAGGGACACCAGTGGGACACCAGAGGGACGCCAGAGGGACGCCAGGGCGTACATCCGACCCCTTGGCAATGGACATTGCCCCACGCCTGCCACGCAAAAGCGGCGGAGACCAAGGGACACCAGAGGGACGCCAGAGGGACGCCAGGGCGTACATCCGACCCCTTAGCAATGGACATTGTCCCACGCCTGCCACGCAAAAGCGGCAGAGACCAAGGGACACCAGAGGGACGCCAGAGGGACGCCAGGGCGTACATCCGACCCCTTGGCAATGGACATTGCCCCACGCCTGCCACGCAAAAGCGGCGGAGACCAAGGGACACCAGAGGGACGCCAGAGGGACGCCAGGGCGTACATCCGACCCCTTAGTAATGGACGAGTCATTAGATCATTAGACCATGACTTAGTAGTATTGACACAAACCCCCATTTCAGGAAACGTCCATATGTTAGTTCGGGATTCGGGGATCTCTCCATGCATAACTCATGTCCACCCAGCCGGATCCCTTGGAACTCGCGACGCTCCGGCCGTAACCAGCCACTTGCTCGAGGACTTGGCGCTTGCGTAGCGAGGGATGTCCCCCTGACTGTCAAAACCCCAGTGATTTTCATGGAAAGTCTGGATGTGCACCAATTTACATCAATTTACATCAATTTACGGTATTCTTTTGGTTTCAATTTGGGCCAGTCCAAGATTAAACCCTATGAAACCGATCCCACTCAGGTCTGCACGTCGAATTTCCGGATGGCAGAGGGAACGCCTGGACACGGCAGCCCAAGATCTCATGGACTTCACCTTCATTTTGCACTGGACAAAACCACAGGGACAAGTTTACAGCCACTTAGGCTTTGCAAAACCCCTGGGATATGATGTGGACAACAAAAACCAGTTGAGATATTCACAGGAGGTATATTTGTCACTGTTTGTCTTTACACCGGTAAACATATGACAAAAATCCCGACCCTGGAAGCCATGACCTCGTCGAGCGACCAACGACGTTGGACCTTGCGACGATGAGAGCCTTTGATAGTTTGGGGTGTATCATGATGTATTGGAAAAAAGGCCGTAGCCGTAGATGTTTTTGTTGTTGGCTTCTGATCTGCTGGCGCCTCTGCAGTGCATTAGTATCTGGACAAACTCTGAACTTTTGTGATTTTTCAAGGTTGACTTCCTAATTCATCACCCAAATGTGTATTGATCTGGGGTTGACTTTGAATCCCTTCGGAGACTGGGCATGTTTGATTTGTTTTGAACAAACTGGAACCCCACAAATCCAACATTTGGGTTTGTTTAAACATATACTGTATGGGGATATGATATATGGGGATATGATATATGAAGTAGAATGAAATAATATATGATTATCTATATCTATATATACACAGTAAATTTATAAATGGATATAAAGGGACAACAAATCTCAATATGTGGACAAATCTGAAAATCAAGCCGAACATACATCATTCCATCTACTGCATCGTCATTTTCCTATATAGTTGATGGCCATGTTAGATGTTCACTATTTGTGTTCGCTGGCTATGATTGGGAAATTGTCGTTCCTGACCCATCATCTTTATGTGATATCCCCACAGCTGTTGGTTTCACAAATTTGTTTGTTTTGCACTGCTTTGTTATCTTTATATTATCTTTTATGATAGATTGTATGTTGTTATCAATACTATATGTAATATTATGTAATATAGTAACAGTAATAAGTAATATGCAATTAAATGTAATTACAACATTGTATGATATTGTATGAATATCTACCTGATAGGTTTACAATTCATGCTCCGCTTTGGTTTTCCATCCACCACTCAGTTTGTGTTGGTTGCACTGACAAGAATGACCCAATGTGCTTCTGGGGGCGTGGAAATGTGTCTCTTGTCGGTTCCAACCGCCGTATTTCGGGGCCAACCATCCTGCAGCGAATTCATCCACTTTCGATGACGCTAAGCCCAGAACGGTTTGGGGCATGGAAGTGGATTGGTCGCACGGTCTGCGTTCCCACACCGTAAGCCATGGCGTCGCGTCTATCGCTTTGTGCAACGCAAAACAAAACGGCAATGATCCGTCTGCGACATCTCAGTATGGGTTAACATTCCCAGACTCTTGGGGCATGTGTGGTCCAATACAAACAAATCCATTTTACTGGGTTGATCTGGTGCTTTTGACATGGTACTGTGCGCATAGTGTACCATATTAATCAACAAATTTGGTACAACTGAAACACTTTTTTTAGCCGGGGAATACTTTCCAATCATTTGCAGAACGCACGTTTCACCATCATATAAAACAAACAATGCCCAACGACAATTGGTCTGGGACAGGCACAGTTAAGCAACAAACACGACATGTATATAAACAATGCTTTAAACAGCAAGCAGTTGTGGGAAGTAAATCATCAATATGGATTCACGTGGGGGAGGATAATACATGATAATCTCATATCTAATACCTGTGAAAAATGACGCGGGTCAATCTATCTGGCTTTCTCGGGCCAACAGCTGAGACTGAGACCAGTTTGAGTAAGCTGAAGTGGTCGTGCCCATCAAACCTTTGAGCCTCAAAACTTCATTGTTCATCAAGGCAATGTGGCAACATGCGAGAATTTATTGTCCCGCGTGTTTTTGACCCGTGTGGGGGTTGGTTTCTCAAGAAAATATGCCAAAATATGCCAAGAAAAAATACGGGCACCCAAATCGCCATACACTATTGATATTGTGAACTGAGAATGTTGGAAGCCCCATCTTGGCTTGCTAACAATTTATAACAAGTCGATGTTTGATGGGAATGAACACGCCAAGGTCGTAGACTTGAGCCCTTGCCACTGGGTGGCATCGATCAAAATAGTGGTTGCGAAGGGGATGAACAAACAATAGCAAACATATAGATCCCCAAACTGATAGTTGCGGACGAAAAACAATTGCCGGTCAACTACCACCACATTTTGGAGCCTCACTTAAGCTCAACCGCTTTGTCTTGATAGAGTTTCATGATCTTTGCACCCCCGTCTACTTGGTACTGTAGCTGCGAATCTCAATGGCTGTGAGGGCCATGGAAAAATAACTTTAGCAGTTCATGCTGATGACCTCCCGACGGTGTGCACACACCGCCCGTCGATTTTTGCAGTGCCAGTGCCGGGCGATCTTAGCCATTCAAGGATCAGCTTTGCTGCTGGGTCGATCTTAGCCATTCAAGGATCAGCTTTGCTGCTGGACCTGGACAAGAGAACTGATGACACCAAATAACGCCCAAGGAAACAGAGAAGCAACGTTTGGAGAGAAATCCCTAGCATGCCCTCGCACATCTTGAAAAAGAGCACCACCCCGCCCTGGCACAATCAGTTCCATTCTCCCAAAGAAATGCCAGAGAGGCATTGGCCGCCATTCTTGGCGCCGCGGGGTGGCACCGCGGACCCTGGCAGCCAACCCAAATGAGGTGCTGAGATAAAACTCTAACTGCTTTGGGAACATGCCGTGAACTAGTTGGGATTGTGTGGGATTGTGTGGGCACATGATACCAAACGATACTAATGAGTGAATGATGTAGCTTAACATCATCAAGAACGATTGGGGACATCACGGATCAAAGTGGAGGAACTTGATGGAAATGCATGGTATGTCAGGTATAATAAATAAGTATAATTTACAGACAGGGAGAACAAGAAGAATGGATGACATTGCAGTGATGCTGACAGTTCAATTGTGACTAAAAATGGGGAATTGTATTAATTAGCTAGCGCGGCACCATGCATCTTGCAATGCATTTCCTCTTGCACAAACACTTGAGTGAATGATTGCTTTCAGCATGCAGCTTCTGCACTACCGACTAACAAAGGCTACGGGAAGTATGGGTTCACTCGCAGCTGGTTTGTTGAATCATTGGTGTTGGTAGCATAGGTGGCCCCAATGTAAGTGATACAGTGATACTTGTAATCTAACCGAACCTATCACATATCAAACCAGGTTGTTTGATGGCAATGTCACCGGCATTGAATTAGCCGGCATTTGCTGGGACAAGGGCTGCGTCTTGTTCTTCCTCTGGAACTTGCGAGAGGACTTCTTCGCCTTATGAACCGAATGCGCGTTTAACAGCCAAGAGTGGGAAGATGAATGGCATTTTGATGTTGGTCCATTTGCATGCATCGTTTCTTATCACCAGGCCGATCAACCTTTTAAACAGGCTGGAAAAAAGGGGATGAATCTCATACCTCAAGATCCTCATGGAATAAACCACTGACGCATACTGGCGCAACATGGTGCTACAGCTGTCCTCTTGCCTTACAGTACGTGTCCTCTAAGGAAAAAACGAAGGATGCAAAGGTATTTCGTAAAAACCAAGAAAATTGGGGGTACCCGGAAACAAAAAAAACATTCTTGCTTTACTTGAAGGAGCTTTATTGTCCGAAGTAATATATGTATATATATATATATATCATACATATATATATATGTAATATATATATATATACAATGATCAATGATAAACATATGGACGTTTCCTTAAATGGGGGTACCCCTAGAGACATCATCCACTTTGGGATTTTCCACTATAAACCATCAGGACTGGGATACCCTCATGGCCATCCTCAGCCTCCACGAGGCAAGTTGCATGGATACGACCAGATCCTTCACGAGCCTCGGAAGCGGCTTGACCCAGTGGCTGCTGATGGATTTTGTAGCATCCAGAAATTTCATGATGGATTGGGGATGCTTTTGGGCTTGAGGGTTTACCACATCATATGTCAATACGTATGTATATATATATATATTATCATGTAATTATCAATATATGTCATATAGCGTTTGCCAAGCCAAACAATAGGAGCTTAAACACGGGGAATCCTGAAGGAAGTACTGTATCACCTACGACATGTCAGAAAAAAAAACTATTCTATCTGTTGGAGGACCCCTGTGTATATATATATAGAGTTGTATATATATATAGAGAGAGAAAGATAAATTCATGTAATTATATATATATATGTATATGTATATGTGTATATATATATATACATATACATGTACAGCCATCCTGGATAGAATGTAAAACTGGAGTATCCCAAAGTCCGTTCACACTGCAAACTATTTGAACTAAGTATGGTATGTTGGATTATTTTGTTTACTCCAGGGATCACTTTATAGAATGCCATTAAGGAAAGTAAGATAGGGTCAACAACAAGATGCTAATAGAATCTATTATGTAAATAAACCTTGAATGGACTTGACCAACAAAATATCAAAAATACCCCGGGACAGTCAACCACCCTCTGTTATTGTGTTCACATTATGTTAAGTTCTTTGACTTCCGACAAGGAATCATGTAATCTATACATTAACAAAAAAACACATATTGTTGAATGGATCACGGCCAAACCAAATAATTACGTCCGCATCTGGCTCCCAACCACATCGATTTGATGATTGCTTAAAGCGATTGCACACAAAAAAACATCATCTCCCTAGCAATGTGCAACGGAAGTGGAATTGCGAAGATTTCAGAAACTGAACACAAAAAACCTTCTATGAGTGACCATGTCCAGCTCCCAAGTGGGTTTTACGATGACTCCCCTTGTTCACATTTGTTCACCACAGTTTGTGGTCTGTTCAGACTTTAATAAAAAGACATTCAATCAAAGCCCACCATCATCTTGATTCTTTCAGTTTTTCCGATTCGTTGTCTCAACTGTTGTCATAAAGGGAAGGGGGGGCCTGGGATGATAAACGATCAGGACAACATAAATAAGGAAACATGTACCACCATGTACCACCCATATTTTACTCTGAAAATTGCCAACTGTCCCAAGCAATCCCATCTTCCGAAACATCTTCTATTACTGTTCGGGGTCGAACAGGTCAACATTGCGCGGTTTCACGCGATTGCACCCCCAAAATCATGCTCACTTGGGATCTTCATCCCATTGTAAGGGATGGAAAGCTCAAGAAACGCACCCATGAATCACAATCGATCAGAATCAAAGAACGCTCTTTTGCGCAGACTTTTAAGATCTGGGGTCCCCTCAGTTGTGCAACAGGAACTGAGCTTCTGACCATGTCTTCCTCAGCGCGGCTTAGATGTTATCTGAACCCTCATGAAATTATCTTTGCTAACGTCTATAAATCTATAATGATATCTCGATACTATCTCGATACCATATCTATCTCGATACCATATCTATCTCGATACCATATCTATCTCGATACCATATCTATCTATGTTTCATCTATATGGCAAATTTCACCAAACATGTCCCCACAATGTCCCCACAATATCGGCCATGTCCATCCCATCAGTAAGTATAACCAATGGTGAACGTTGAGGTCAAGGAGGGCCAAGCTCCAGATGTCACACCTGATATCACCACCAGTATTGCCATCATTCGTTGGGTGTTTCCTATTTTTGTTGGGGGGTTGTCGGTTCAGATCCTCAGTCTTGCCGGTAAAACCCCTTGTCTTGTTCTTCAAATGTTCCATGATATGATGTCTATATATATATATAACATCCACACTCCACATGTATATTTATTCTATGTCATGTCTGTTGAACGTTGATCCATCCCACTTTCTTCCATATTTATCCCCGCAAAAGCCCGATTTGGGTCGCCTCAAATAATGGTTTCTCTCCCGCAGACGCCTTGTCTCCACTGCGGTGGCGAGTGTTCTTGCCCTGCGATATTGCGGGTCCAGGAATTGCCAAGGATAACCTGAGGTACAATTATAGTTGATTATAGTTGTACCAAAAAAAACATGTCCATATAATCGTATACATCCATTCTACATATATAATTCTACTAGCTACATTTAAAAGAAAGGAAATAGATTGTCCATATATCCATAAACCCAATATATTACTCCAATATCATATATATATATACTCAAAACATCTCAACACATTCATGCTCAAATATTAAGTAGCCCCATTGCTACAGTCCGACCAGGCTGGATAAATTCAGTCGAATATGTTGGTGCATGTTGGTGCCCTAGGCATATTTGCCATAATAAAAGCCCATAATAAAAGCAATGGGGCCAACGAATATGATGATTAGCAAGTGGACTT